ATTTTTCAGTCGAAAAAACTACATTTTTTCCTAGAATATTATATTACTGTTTCTGTACTACAAATGTAGTATTGGAAGTAGGTTATTTAGGAAGATAGTAAAATGTTATTTACATCCACTTCGCACCAATCAATTTCAATTGCGTCATTGCACCGGAGAAGTGATATATTTAAACATAGTTAACCCTGAAACATGCGTCAAAACCCACGAAATACCTTTATATATGCATACGTTTTCATCCAGGAAGTTCTTTGAATGGATGGAAACTAGAATTTCAAATGTGCTGCTGTATAACGAAGCGGAATAAAACAAGTGGGATTCTCTACGTCCGGTAACTCACTTCCTTGCACTTCTTGCCGTAAACAACTACTCTCATGCATACTATGACACTTTTAGATACCGTGAGAGCATTCATATATCTTTATGTAAATGTATCGATATTTCTTACTTGTGCGTAAGGTAGACGTTCCCAAAAGAGCGATGCGAATGTCATTATCATTTGTAACAATGAACTGCTTTGCCTTGAATCAGCAATGAAAGTTCTTTGCTAAGTATTTCTTATTGTCTACACTTTCACTATGCTATTAATAAATATGCCCATTCATTTCTCACTTTGCAATTCATGGAATGATGAGTCCTAGTATGCGAACCTACATTTAACATTATTCATAAATTCTTTTCACCCCTTGTGACATATCGTCGAATTTCCCTCAATGTCCTGCGTAACGACTTTAATAGTAATAATAATAATAATAATAATAATAATAATAATAATAATGTAGAAAAAGATTCAAACTAAACACATGTGTATTTGGGTGAACTAGTTCAACAGAAATGGACATTAGGTAAATGTTTCTCCCAAAAGTGCAATGCGAAAAATATTGGTAAATATTGTAATAAAATTGAAGCATTACTATAATATAAATATAAATATAAAAATATTTCTGCATATAATTGCAATAATGAAATAATAATATAATTATAATTATAAATAGTTGTTCAAAACCGATTCTTCAATATTATTTTGTTCATAAAATTTAGTAACGTTTCGATAATAAAAAAGTACATTTCTCAATTATTCAGTTCAACTTAATTGTAGCAACTCAGTACAATGAATTAGATAATATATTATGAAAGTTAAAGAACAGAATCTTTTCATTTTTGTTTTACCAAAAACGGATTTGAAGTTTTAACATTCAAGATTTTATTCTCTGAAAACTGTTGAGTTTATGTTATATCTTTGTATGGCTATTATTTTTTCATCAGAATTCAACATGTTACAAGCCTTTACAAAGGTAAAAGAGAATTTGTATTATAACGTGTATGTAAATCATTCCACGTACAAATTGTTCAAATTATTAGTCGTTTTCCGTAATTTTGAGTTATCTCGGGACGAGTTCAAAGTTCTCGTATTTTTCCACCATCATTGCAGCAGAGATTTATTTTAAATGGAATATAGTCCAAGATTTAATGTATTTAAATCATTTTGTATATACGTTTCCAAATATCAGCAGCCTTCTCGCAACTTTGAGCGAAACGGGCAATTTTAATTTAAATACGTGGATATTTTTGCATTAAAATATGGCTCAATTTTTTCTGTAAACTTTGTGTACGGATAGTGGCAAATGTACTAAATTACTTAATATCAGCGTCAACTTATTAAAAGATTTTGGCTTTCTAAAAAATAGACAAATTATTTTTTTACTTATATTTCACTTAGTTAATATTTTCATTACATTTGTTGTTTTTTTTATAATTTAATGAATGTGTGAAAAAAATTAATTAATCAGTTAATGAAAATCTCAAACGTTTTCCGTTGAGTGATTGTTTATTCTGTGTTTGCGGGTGCGCCCACTTCGACTGGGCAGTGCATGTGGTGGCGGTGGCGATGGCGACGTCCTTCCCCGGGTGGATGGCGAGATCCGCCGCCCACTTACTCGTCCCCACGCAGGTATCTCCCCTTGCGGGACATCGCCCCACCAGCGACAAGCTCTCGGCTAAATATCCGGGAGAAGACGCATCCTAAGTATAGGTGCCAACTGCGACCTTCCTCTGAGCGAAATGTAAGAAGGTCGCAGAATTGTGGCGGAAACGATGGCACCTATGCCTAGGTCGTGGCATCTCCTAGACCGACTCCGGCCGCGGAAGACTATGCTCTCAACCGCCAGCTCTCGCATACGTGTAGTAGTGTAGTAAAAGTGTGTGTGTGGTGTGTGTGTGTGTGTGCGTTTGTGGTCAAAGGGGTGAAAGATATGACAAGGAAGGTGAGGATGGCGACGTAACCGTGGCTCGTTTAATTTGTGTGCGTTTACCAACATTTTCGGTTTTTCCGGTTATTCTTGACTTGAAGAAGCCACGGAAAACAGCCGCTAAAATTCTCGTTCAGACAGGATGAATTCTGCATAGCTATCTAGAGAGTGATGAAAATCCTGCCCCCGTTGCAGCTCGAGTCCTGTGACCTCCCGGCTCTAGCCGGCACAGCTGTGATTTCAGTTAATGCTTTAAGCCACCTGAGCGGGTCAAACTTTTTGAATATATATTAGCTCAAAATTATTCTTTTTCAGAAAACCCAAACGACATTTTCCAAAACGAAAAACCCAGTTTCTCTCTAAAATTGTCCACATAAAAATATTTTAAAGATTATTTTTCAAAAATTACCTCAAAATCTCATTTTATTTAGGGAATCGAAAAAATCAGAAGTTGTGGAAACACATTCATATTATGCTCTCAAATAATCCTCAATAAAAATATTACAGGAAAGAAAACTAAACCACCAATCTATCAATATATTTTTACATTTTGTTAAAGTTATTTAATTTTGAGAAGGTGTTTAATGTTGAGTGTGATGTTTATATTTTTACTTTCTTCCACGTACTAATGTAAGAAGAGAAAGCAATGTAACCATGCGTCGTAAAACGGCGAATTGTTGACACAAATCTCTTAACTCTAGTCATGGTAACGAAAAAGTGGATAAATCCAGTTGCTAAAAATAAAAAGTGATAAATATAAAACGTTTTGTAGCAGTAACTCTACTTTTTCTCGTACAGTAGATTACCCTTCACATATATTTTACAACAAGAAACAATATCATGTTCTTATATTAACTTAGTTGGCGAACGTTCACTGTAGGATCCCCTTCAACCTTCGGATAGCAGAGAATTCTTATGCGATTTATTTGGTGTTCTAGTGCTACAAAAATTAGATGATGGGATTTAAGAAGAACGTAATGATTAATGATTAGTGACATAAGCGAATGATTGATGGATATAAGTTATTTTCAGGGAGTATGAAATATATCTCAATAAAGCAGCAGCTAAGTTAATTAGCAGAAAACATGATGGGCGGTTTAGAAGTTTCGAGTAAACCCTTTCTGAGACAGTCTGTGGGTGCGATCCCCCCCCCGAGAGATGTACCTCCTTGTGGCTTGCCCGCCGCCGCACACAATCGTCATTCATCCCCTTTCGGTAGAAGCCGTACAGTGTCTGGGGAGAGAAGGGCCGGCCTGTTGCCAAGGCTTCTCCCACGGCTGTACACACATCATCCCTTTAAACCCGAAACAAAGGGCATACATTACAATTGATGTGTATAACAAAAGAACACAAATACTTTCATAAATTAAACGTTTTGTGTTTTATTTAGATGTAAATATACCACTATTCGTTAAGGATAAGGAATCAATTATAAGATTACATTTTTACAGTTATATGATAACATACAACACACGAACTTAATAAACTAATTATCGCATTTAACTTCTTAGCGTTGCAGTGTCAAGTTCAAATTTGTTTCATACGTTTTTGCTCCTGTATGTAATTCTTTGTCGAATACGCAATAATACTCAGAGTCCATGTTCTGTGAGTTTGTAATATGTGGTATTCCGTAATTCATCCGTTCGTCTATAAACAACACTTGTGCCTAAACCGTAGACACAATTTTCTCCAAAATTGATATTCCCCAATCAAGCTGGGATCTGTTGGAGTCCTTTGTATTTGAAACAGATATTTTAATTCTCTGGTCCGTACATATTAATTTTCAAAATTATCTTAACAAGCACTCCAAATTCTTCCTGTAAATATGTTACTCGAATATGTCATAGAACGCATAAAAATGATCACAGGTCAGATTTGCATTCAATCATTTACATTTTTCGTTTGAAAACGTTAAACATTTTTTCGACCCCTTTCTCTAACTGCAGTACTCAGAATGAAGACTTTCACATTTTTGTATACGTATGTATTATACGGAGTAATATGCGTACTATAGAGAAAGTTATGTAATCACGCGAAAAATCGATATCACCATTTCAGCTGACTATATGTTTTGTGGTCCCCTGATTCCATTAAAGTATTGTTCTTTTTTTTCAAAAGTCCGTCCGTCCATCTACGCATTTTTCGAAAACATTAGCAGTTTTTTACGAGATTTTGAGGAAATTATGGACAATATTAAAAACAATATTTTTTCAAACAAGTTTCCATTTTTTTTAAAAAAGTTGTATGGGGAAACTAAAAGTATTTAACATGAAAAAACGCTGTTTTGATGAATTATTTTAATTTTTCAATAATTGCGGCTGACCTCGACCTAGCTATCTAGCTAGTGACGAAAATCCTGTCACGACAGGACTCGAACCCTAGGTTCTCCGGTCAGAGGCACTGCAGTGGCATCAATTAATGCCCTGAGCCACCTAAGCCAGTCTTACTCGCAGTATGGTCAAATGCGACGGCTCGCTTGTCGGGGGCTTGTGACAGGTGCGTCCAAGTATAGGGACACTAAGACTGTATGTTAGAACCCGCTGGAGGCATCTATGTTTTGTGTTGTGTTTCTGGCGTGGGAGAACATTCTCTGACTTTCGTGTACCACATTAATACCATAACCCTTCCATAATATCTCCGCTTGACAGGAAACTGTGTGTATTTATATGGAATCTGCCTGAGTAAATGAGAAATCGGATTCCAACACCCAGGCACCGAGATCAGGCTTGGGGCTCGCTTATGCATGTATAGAATAGGCGAGGACCAGGTAAGTCCAAGAAATAAGTCGGCAAGATTTGTGAAGGGCGCGAGCGACCCCTTCACTGAGAATTGTTCCTGAGAAAGCGGTCGGTACCGCCAGAAGTCTCGATACGCCTTTTAGACGCCGATAGATAGCAGCACGGTTGTCACGATAATAATAAAATAATGTATACGAGAAAGTTCGCTCTATTTAGTAGCACTACTACTTTATTTCGTTGCCTTATCCCTATATCTATATTGCAGGTGTTCTGGACAGATCCTGCTAAATCCAGCGATGCTCTGAGGACACAAGCTACGGGTTCTTTTCCCCATAAAAATATTTATAAACGAATGAATTAATATTCTGCCCACAGCCTTCCTCTTGACGCACTTGGCTGGCTTTGGCGTGACAGGCGGAGCCCACCGACTCTGGACGCATCGCTCCTATAAGGCCAAACTGCCTCTACGTATCATCATGATGATTGGGCACGGTCTAGCTGGCATGGTAAGTCATACAATATCAAGGATTTGCTTCCGCATGGAAGATTAATTGAATTTCACACAATTGTTGAAATACTAAATTGTGTTTGACATATGTGTATAGGATGAGAGTTCATTGATTACACAGGCATGCAAAAATACATAAGTTGTTAGACTCAAAGATTTGAAACATGTTTTTTTGTGTATGTCGACACGCTAAATCTGAATCTGAAGCCAGAAATGTGCTTTCACCATCCAGATTTTTTCAAACCTCTAAAAAACACCGTGAAATTGTATTTTCTTTGTTTTTGGAGATTGTTGTCATCCCCAAAGACTTGACACGTGTTATTTTGTGTATGTCAAGGAGGTGAATCCGAATCTGAAGACACAATTGCGCCACCACCCTCCAGTTTTTTAGTCGCGAAAAACACCGTACAATTGACAATTTCAGCTGTTTTTTCCGCGATGAGTCAAATCTTTGGATCTGACAATTCATTTTGTGTGCTTGTGTTATCAGGTAGATTTTAACAAGAAAAATTAATTTAAAAAAAGAACACCAGAAAATCATCTAATTATCAAAAAGTACAGAAGGGAGAGTAAGAGAAAAATATAATGGAAAGCTTTTACTGATTGTTCATTATTAAACATTGTGTTCAGTCTGAATCAATATCTCAAATGTTAAATTACCTTCACACTCACAGGGACTGTTCAAAGAACTTTTAATTATTTTTCTGGCGGAGCTAAAGTAAATTAGTTGAAATGAATTAGTTCCTTCCTTTTCTATTGTAAATATTTTCGCAAAATGATTTTAATTTTGCAGTCATTTTTTTCATGTTCCTGATAATTGTGGTATTCAGTGCACGACTTAGATTTTTGGAATTCTTTGCTAGTATCAACTGTATTTCTTTTTGAATTTTGTTCTGAATTAGATTAAAAAGTGTCAATTTTTTCCTAAAAAAAAGGAATATGACAATAAAATCACATTAATAAAAATACAGGTATCAAGTACATTATTATTCGGGATGATGAGTGAAATAAAATGAGATTATTTTCAACACTCCTATTTCTGAACGAATATTACAAATATTACATGATTCCAACGTCTTCTATGCAAGATACGAACATTCGTATTCTTCACAATCTCCAACCCTCGCCTCCATGTTTCAGGCACTGCTCCCAACAATAGAGCATCTAGGAATAACGCGATGTGGTGAAATTTTTTACCAAAAAAAAACATTTGAAATACTAAAATTGACTACAACATGTGCTCAATATTGAAATCTTCGTATTTCTTTACATATTTTCCATTAACGGAATGTTTTTTTTAATATCATTGCATACCGATCAGCAAACTGACAGTAACTGACCGATGGATGAATATCTCTGCGAAATTGCTTCGCCATTAATGACGAGACACGAGACCCCACATGAATAGTTCAAAAGGTCTCTTAAACGTCGCGTGATTGTAGTTCTAACATCCTATTGAAGCGCTGAATGACAAGTGTGCTGACGCTGTGAATGCTATTATCTTCATTTAAAGCGATGTCGCTCAGGCCACCAGATCTAATCTTCTTATTTTGAATTTCACAAACAATGGAAATAATCACATGCAATCATCTGTCTATGAATTCTTCCGTTGTTTGAGTGTACGTGGTTACCTCGTACCTCAGAAAACTCATTTTCGGGAATAAGTTATATCCACAATGTATGTTATATAACAGGAGTAAGCCAATTGGGAGGCCTGGCAGTGACATGTTTAGAAAAAGTAAATGGTGTTTCGAATATTAAACATAAGTTCTTAAGCTGTAAGCATCTAATATTTATAGCTGTCTAAAAGCTGAATAGCACAAATTATATTATTTAGTAAACTGAAACACTATTAGTAAAATATTTAAATTTATGTTTAATAAATCAAACATTTTCGCGTACCAATTTTGGTTGGTAACTGCTTGAAATATTACGCGAGACTAGTTAAGGATGTCCTCACAGTTTCTGTTAAGGAAGAGCTATTGGTGTCTGTTGATGCACATCGATGGATGGCGAACCGGTTTGTGAAACCTAACGTCCACGTAACACGAAAAAACGTTTCAAAGTCAAAATTACATAATTTTCATTTCTTCCTCAGAATTTTGCGAGATCTACACTACAAGAGCAACATACGGTTCGCGAGACACGCTTTGACCTCTTTGGGCACACAGGTTGTAATGTTCAACTTTTCTGTGACACAGAGTATGATTCCCATAATATGGGCCCCATATTATAGGAATTTATATTGACAAAATATCTTGAGTATAGTTCGCACAATCTACGTATTTTTAATCTTGTGTAAATGGTAATCATTTAAAAGCTAAGAGATCCAATAAAAAGATGAATATGTAAGCAGAAAAAGATGAAATTAATATATTTCCTCATCATAATAAATATCAGTTACACATTTCGATATCCAAACCACATTTCTAAGTTGCTATTGCGCACACAAAGTGCTAGAATACACTTGCTATTTTATTCTAGCTCTTTAGGCATTCAGTATATCATTTGTTAACTTTATGCAGTGTAAATTAACTACACGTTAACAAATAAAAATACATTATCTATTCTGCATAAATGAAAATATTTATATGAACATTTATTTATTCGAATTATTTATATAAATGAAAAATTATTTATGATTGGCTGAACCTGTTCCCCGCCCCTGCTCCTAATGTAGAAAAATCTTTGGTATACCTTTTGCTAAATTGTAAAGATTTAAATTCTGTTAGTTCTGTTATTGAACACTTATTTCAGAGAACAGTAAAAAGCACATATAACTGAAGCCGAGTGCTTATTTAATTTTGCTAAGTGTCGAGTTGCTCTGCTTTTTATACGTATGACGCAACTGTCGCCAACTCAACGTCGGGCACCCGACTTGAGTCGGCTTTCTAAGGCGGGGTCACACAGGGCAATTCTCTGGCCACTGGGTGACGTGGCCTTGAGGCAAATAGCGGAAACTTTTAAATTACAGGAAGGATCTTCAATTTCGGTCTTAGTGCATAAGATCTTGAACACGACAATGGAAATTTTTGCATCAATAAGTATGAAAGGAACATGTGTAATCTAATATAAAAGATTACTCTTAATAAAATTGCTACGGTACGCGCTCGCGGTTAGAAATCCAGTTAACGTAGTTTTCGTGAAGTATTTTTGTTACATTTTGCTCTAATTGACTTCAAAAATAGAAACTAGAGGCGCTAAAACAGCTCATACTTTCTCTCCCATAATAAAGATTACGTAATATTATTATGAAACAGTTTCTGTTTATATCAACACATCGCAATCAAGGGGCATCTTGGAAAAATGCGCACATGCGGATTTGGGCACTGGAAACATTGGGCGCATATTTTCTTATCAATTTTAGCTAAAATCGCCACATATGGGATTGTTTTCAGTTTTCGTTGTTATGGTCTTATGAAAATTCTTATAAGACGTTCTTTATATAACAGTATTATTTCTTTTCATATACATACCATTATTTTTCGCCGTGTGTCCAAGTGAATTCTCAGTTTATTCTTTAAATTTTCATTGTATTTTAAATGAAGACTTACAACCAAAGAAAACCATAATTAATCTCTTCATAAATAATGCCTACAAACAGAAATTAAACTGTTGCAGATGTCCCTGAAAGCAGTAAAGGAGAAAGCACGCGAAAACAATTCATTTTTGCTGCCCACTTGCTTTCAAAAATTCCAAACTCGTGCGTTACTTTTTGAAAAATTTAAATAGTATACAATATTACATGAAAAATACTATGGTGAAGTTATTTTGTATTTCCAGCACATCATACAGACAAGCAAGGATAATTGCACAAAGAATTTGAACATCCAGAACTAAATGCCATCCAATGTGGTCCAATATGAATGTACTCGAAACTACGATATCATTACCTCACGCATATCTCTATATATTTCTTCCCGACTTTACTTAAGTTAAATGAACCTTTTTATTGAAATAGAGAACATTGTAACCCTCAAATATTAATCGGTGCACTTCTCCTTCTTATAACATTTACGCTTATATAATATTGACGCTCTACGACGCGTCGGGCTTATTATATATTGAAACCCCATCAAACGAAAATCGGGAAATTTGAATTTCCCATTTCCAATGTTACTTTCTCGCCCTAAAGAAGGTACTTCTTAAGAAGAGAAAGTTATGTAATGCTATAAATGGCGTATTTTTGGCAGAAAAACTCTTATTGCTGGGACCTGGTAATGAAAAAGTGAATAAATCCAGTTGGCAAATGTAGGAAAAAATCCGATAACGCTTGGTGTAGTCAAAATCCGTTTTCTGGGTCCTTGATACCCAAAAATCGAATAATTGCAAAACGTCTGTCTGTCCATCCAGCCGTCTATCCGTTTGTTTGTGACCAACGCTAGCGCTTAAACTATTCAGACGAATTTCTCCAAAATTGATATTTCCCAGTTGATCTGGCTGATGTTGCGGCCCCTTGAAGTTCGTGGGTTAAAACACAGACAAAGCGGAGGATTTTTGACGAGCCAAAAATTGTCAGCATTCATGTCACACTTGTCGGCATATAAAAAGGATTCCAGAAAAGATACTTGGCCGATCCTGGCAAAATTAAACTCTCCAGCAATTTAGCACCAATCAGAGTTTTGATTTAAATTACTGGATAAGATTGATGATATTGTATGTTGGGCTGCGCTATCTGGTATTAAAATAAAACGTCAAAATTGGCGCACTAGCGCCCCTAAGGTCTAAGCAACGTCAAATTACTCTAGGTATACTTGCTCAGGATATGTCTCACAAGGAGGAGCTAGGAGCTTCTGGAGACTAGCCTACACATTAATCAGTGTATAAGTATTAAAAAAAGAAATACTGTAGTATTTAATTTTTTATGTTAGTTTTATTTCTAAAAGTAAGAAATCACTACTCTTCTTAAAATAAATGCACATAAGCACGAGATGCGATTTGTTTGAATTAGACATTTAAAAATTATAACTGAGTTTTTAGTATGGCAGAAATTACAATATTTTAATATTACGTAAGTATTTTCAATCACCCGAGAAAGTATGTACTGTTGTCGCACCTCTAGTGTTTTACTTTCTCGCTTCCGCTGTTAAGAGGAAGTTAGGTAATGCTGCGCAAAAAAACGCGAATTTTCAGCAGAAAAAAAAGTATTGCACTGGCAACGAAAAAGATGTTAAATTTAGAAAAAAAAATTGAAACACTTGTTGAAGCCAGAATCTATGTTTCGTATGTCCTTGATACCGAAAAAGCGATTGACAGCAAATTGTATATTCGTATGTCTGTCCGTCCGTCTGCGCACAACGTTAGCTGCGAAACCGATCCGCCGATTTTCACCAAAATTGATATTCCCAATCGATTTGCCTGATGTCGCGGCCTATTGAATTCTTGCAATTTTCAAAGTATCCGCTATTTCAACAAATATGATGCCTGCACTATACTCTTAAGAGTCCTTTGCGCTATTTGAGGGCAAAGGTGGCGGCGATGTTGTAACGGTTAGCTTATCGGACTGTTATACCCAAGTTGGCGGGTTCAAGCCGATCGAAGCCGTGTATTTTTTTCGTACGCTTTCCTTCGGAGGGGAAGTAAAGCCGGCTTCCCCATGTTAGTAGATTTACTTGCATGTAAAGTATCCTCAAGTCTAAATAACGCCTCTGAGATAAATTCAAATCGCCTGTTTCATCGCCTAAGAAAGACCTCCTTCCTTCGCTAGTGGGTGAAAGGAGCGTAGCGAAATTTGCGTGGCCAGACGGAACAGCGGACCTGATGGCGCGAGTCTCGCCACGTGAAATAAGGTATCAATTCAAAATTTAATTTGAAAAAGTTGTGTCGCTTTTGAGAAAAAAATGTTTAAACAAACTTAAAAACTGCTTGTAATGACGCGAAAATACTCAAATTTTCGAAAAATTGTACATGAGCTTATTTCAAAATTTTTCTTTAAATAACAGACTTCATTAAAGAAAGAAATCTCTATCTTCAAAATTTTAGTTGTAGGAGAACGACGAAACTTTTTTAATTTTTAAAATGTTTGCCAAATCTTGGATTTCAACGAAAATGAGACGTGAACCATTCTATTAAGCGTTCATTACGGGAGGAGTTTGAAAATAACAATTTTGTCACTTAGTAACTCAAAATTACATGCCACTGTTTTATTCTTTATTAGATTTTATCGAAACAACTTAACATCTCTTAAATGTGCCCCTTTCCGCCGCAAAATAAACTCGAAAGGATATAGCAGCATTTAACACTACTCGCATAAGGCTTCTGGTAAGAATCAAGTTTCAGCTAAGCGTCATAAAACATTTGTATTGATAAACTTGTGGACTAGTCTCTTATGCTAGCGGCAACGCCTTAAATTACAGTCATTAGAAGCACACGCACTCTGTAAACACATAATTAACAGCATTCGTCGCGTATTACACTCACTACCCTCTTTATCAGAAGGTTCATTTCAGACACGAAAGACATCTAGATCATAGAGAGAACATGTGTTAATGCATGACGTATAAAACGCGAGAAACTGGTGGTGCTGCTGCGTTTTCCTCGCATTATTTGTAACGGATACGTAATATTGCAACCTGGTAATTCTTTAGCCATCTCGAGAAACACTTGTAGCAAAAACCTCCTTTCTGGAACCGGCTTAACATTTAATTTACATATTTTATTTAGTTTTCGGCCGATCATTTACTGATTTATGTTGTGGAACTGCAATTCATCCTAATTTTCCCTATTGCCATGCACGTTAATTTAGGTAATGAAATAAGTGGTGTATAATTAAATAGGAACTTCAATTTTATGATCTCTTTCTGTTTCCTGAACATATCAATTTTTTTAAACATTGGACAGCAAAATTCAAAAGAAGAATATTATTTGCTTGATATTGTGAAAAGATATTCTTCTGTTAAGTGAAAATTATATTAATTTCACTCAACCGAGGTACTTTTTGAATCTATTGCTGATAACGTGAGCCAGGGAGCACATTAGCAGCTATTTGGCTGTTGAGAATAATTATGTAATGTTTCGAAA